AATCCGCCGTCGTCTTCTGGTGGAACCGACCCTCGAATCTCTTCACTCAACACTTTCACTCGAAATGGAGACACAACCATTATGAAACAAGAGATTCCTTGAAACCCAACTTTTTTTCGCATATATTACGTACGTATGGTATGAATTCTTATTAACTTTCTTCTTGCTATACGAAAACCAAGAAATCTATATCCCGGCAATTCACTACTATTAGATTTTTAAAATTTGTATTTCATGTAATGCAGTTTCTAAATGTTGTATTCTTAATAGACGTCCAGATTTACCTATTTCCACTAACAGGAAACTGGAGCATGTATCAGGTGATTTGGTTAAGACTAAACTTTGCATTTCCAAATGAGCAAAATCATTCCATGAATATACTGGTTGAGTTGATTAACGTAACGGACAAGATGCCAGAAGAGGATTAGAAAAGTATCGAAAGAGAAGTGATCCCTCATTTTGATAAAGTAATTGTTCCAAATAAAATTATATGACTTGAATAAAGTTTCTAGATATTTTCACCCAAATCATCTGTTTGTTTCAAAGGAAGATAAAGATGGTGTAGTCGATAGGTTAAGCTATATAGAAAAAATGATGGTTCATCTAAATGACTGAGAAACCTTTACTGAAGGATCCAGACTTAGATGATCGATTAACGTTTGTGAAAGCAAAGGAGAAATTGAGAAGTGGAACATGAATTCACTTCGTCAGAGGGATGCAATGGCACCTTCGGCTTGCAGCCCTCCAAAAATACACAAGGAAGGAGTTCCTTTAAGATTGATGGGTACTGTGATGCAGAGGATCTCACGTTTCTTATGTAGACAACTAAAGAAATTGATTAAGTATTGGAAATATTCAGTGAAGAATTCATATGAATTCACTAGATCAATAGATCAACAGAGTATTAAAGAAAAGAATCTTTTGTTTAGTTTTGATGTGGTATCAATGTATACTAAGGTCCCAGTTCATAAAGCTATTAAAGCGCTTACACTCAGCCTAGTTGAACACCCCTAAATTGTTGGGAAGAAAAAATCTGAGCAAAGGCTTAATCTTAAGGTTTCTTGATCTATCCATGAGCAGCACATACTTCACCTTTAATGCTAAATTTATGAATAGGTGCAAGGCCTAGTAATGGGATCTTGGTTGGCTCCCATTTTAGCCAATAATTACATGTAAAGAATGGAGGAACACTTCATTGAAGAGGAAGGATTGACATCCAAACTGTTAGTTAGATATATGGATGAATACTTTGTTATATGGCAGCATGACAAGGATAGTTAAGATAATTTCTTATTTTCCATTAACCAGATTGACTGTAATATTATGTTGACGATGAATATGGAGATCAACAATAATTTACCCTTTTTAGATGTCATAGTGATAAGAGCATGTGAGAAGTTAAGC